CTGGTACAAAGAATGGGGAATAAAAGTAAATTAATTAAAATCTATAGACTGTACGTTCATTCATAAACTCAAAGACTGTCCAACTATCCACCTCAATAACCTCCCTCTACCGCCTTCCCTAAGTATTCGCTACCTAGGTCTCCATCTTGATCGACGCCTAATCTGGGCAACCCATATTCAAACCAAGCACCGCTCTCTAAATAGTCGTTTTCACCAGCTACATCTTCTTATCACATCTAAACACGTTAATGTCAAAAATAAATTACTTATATAAAAACTTCTGCTTAAACTGATATGGACCTACGGTATACAACTTTGAGGAACATCTAAACCCTTCAACACCAATAAAGTCCAAACATTTCAGTCAAAATGCCTCCGCCAAGTATTTAAAGCTCATTTTTTTGTTTCTAATGACACTCTCCATAGAGATCTTAATATTCCAACCATCCAAAACGTAGCCAAAATATACTATAAACGCCTCCACTACAATCTCTCCAATCACCAAAACCCTCTCATATCTGATTTATCAACTCACACAATTCCAGGTGACCCCAGAAGGCGCCTAAAACGAAAATGATGTCGTAACCTCTTGGAGGACTTAACTTCAAACTCCATACCCGCCATGAAGTTCCATCAATGGATGAATCTTTCTCCCAAAACATAAACTGCCTTGATGCAATAGATATTGAATTGTTTACTTAATTTAATTTAATATTATTGTATTACTTACTTAAATATAATTTGTGATTATTGTAAAAATAAAATATTTATAGATTGTACAAAAAAAAAAAAAAATTCAGATATTATTTGTAGAAACAATAGCTATCCAAATTAAGACACATTAAACGATATTCTGAAAATCCACCACATATTAAAATCGATACATAAATGAAAGTTTATGTTCTTGTGCAATAAAAATATGAAAACTATCTTCTACAATTTTTTTGATCATAGTAATTTTTGTAATAAATGATTCAAGTCAAAAGACCGAAATGGATAGTTTTGGTCTTCACGCTACGAAATTAATCTGGCCGGAAACTTCTCACGCAGTAGAAATATTGTTTCTATAACAAGTTGTAGTAACCATACAAGAATACCTACTGAGCACAGTAATTTTCTCTGGTCTCATTTGAACCAAATAAACATAAAAAATTATGGTTTCAACTTGTCACACTTCAAGAGAAACATTACTCTGCTGCGTGAGAAGTTCCTAGACAGACTAATCTCGTTGCGTGGAGACCAAAACTGACCACTACGATCTTGCGATTTGACACGGTGTGATTTCTTCATATGGAGATACACCAAATCACGAGTTTACTAGAACAAAGTTCGATATGTCTTGAAACTTAAGCAAGAAATTTGCCGTGTCCTCTACGAACATGATGGGGCAATGTGTGATCGAATGATTGTAAATTTTATGGAAAGAATAATGTCACCTGTAGGGACAATAGGAAGTCATATGCCAGATGTTGTTCTTCACTGTTGAACGTTAACTTCTCCCAAAAAGAATGATATATTTGTTGTTTTTTTAAAAAAAAAAAAAAAATTATTTATTTTATAACAGATTTAAATCCTGCATTCTTTTTGAGACACCCTATATTTACAATGAGTATTCAGCTAACGTACAAAGTTCAATAAAACAATAGGTAATAGGAGGGCTGCAATGAGTCAATTTTATTTTTTTTATTATTTAAACAATGTGTGAGTTTTTTACTTTGTAAAGCTGTTACAACAAGAATTATTGGCTTAGTACATAGAATATTTAATGACATTCAATATATATTTCGATGAGTCATTAAATAACGCATGTCGATGGAAAAATCGTTCAATATATTCACCAAACTACCGATACTGATATTATAGTTAATAAGTCGAATATTAATTTTCTGCAATACATTGAACTGTTAGTTCGAAATACTAAATCATAACTCATCAATATTCGAATAGTGTCATTTGATAAACGAAGAAAGTTGTAGAGTGATAATAAATGGATAACATATTTAAAATTATATAATACAGCGTAAATATAATGTTTTTTTTTTTAATATGTCAGTATTACCACATGTATGATTGATACATAGTAAAATGCATACCATTATCGTTAGATAGATATGAGCTAAAGTAAATGCTTATATTTTTAACTTATAAATATTAATTATGAATACTCAATGTATAATCCTTATTATCAAATTTTAAATTTTCTTCTTTTTTAAAAAATGTTTTTTAAATTGGTCAATTTATTAATGATATTGAACCTTCTTAAAAATACTTCAATTATCATATTTGCTAAAGTTTTAATGTACATCGTAAGAAAAACGAGTAGGTTGTGTTGTTACTGACTGTAAAGTATTAATATTCTCCAGTACCAAGGTTCTATAATATATCATCATCTAAAAGTTTATTGTTCCGAAAAAATGTCTATATATTACATGAGCATATGCATAATATAATATTTACTGAAGATTGGACACTTATTTAGAATAACTTGTTTAAACCAAAGTAATTTGGATTATACATCTTAATTATGTTGTATAATTAAATAAGTTTAAATTATATAAATTAACCTCTTTAAGCGATTCGTTTACTTCACAAATGTGCCATGCCTTTGTTCTTTCAACATTTTAAGAGTTCTATATTTCAATACACACAATATAGACTATATATACAAATATATATCAACAAATTTACTTATGTAATTATGTAATAATACTCAATTTATGAAAATTGGAAAAAAGCATATCCATGAAGAAGAAACTTTTAATTGCTATAAACAATCACGAACCATAACAAATTGATTTGTTCTATACAATACGTGACGATACTATTGTGCGATCGTATCATCATTTGTATACATCGTATATATCCCCAACAATACAACTGAAAAACTCTATAGATTTTTAGTATCATATTCGTATACATAATATATATTAATGTAGAAATTGTCAATTTTTAGAAACGCAAACAGTTAATAAGCACATATGTGCTTATTAAAACTGTGGTAATCACATACAAACAGTAACACATACCATAGCAGAATGCCGATTTGAACAAGGCATCGAAAGAATGCACACGATTACATTGGAGGCAGTAAAATGAATAAGGGAACTGGACATGCATTTATGAATAACCACTCTATACCAAAATGAATGTGGTGCAATAAATAATAAATACTTGTCATTTTAGCTGTACTTTACATCTCACGCGATATTGTTTTTATTATCATAATCATAATTATTATTATTTTTTAATCTATTCATATTATATATCTTCATAGTTTTATCTTATCTAATTTGCTATAATGTTGATTTTCTGTCAAGTCGTACGAATAAATAAAATAAGCAGTGAGAGAATTAGATATTTGACATATAATAAATTTATTCGTGTTTAACATACATTTGATTTTCAATACCTATTATTTAATCTTTGAAAAATATAATTAAGAGCACATTTTTTAAAACAATGACATCCAATTAGTTAATTATATATTTTACTACCTATCAATGTCATTGAGCCAAGGTCTTATGTGTTTCATACGAACTCAGTTTTATGTTTATTTATTTATGTTCAAAACAATTTGTGATGAAATAATGGTATTGGATGTATTTAAAAATTGTATATTAATTAATTATTAGTTAATTCTTATATATTTATTGAGATAAAGATTGTATAATGAATAAAAAACGTTGGCATTCCAATTACCATAATTTATTCATTACTGACACAACACTGGTTTTAAAATTATAAATATATATATAATATAATCGATAAAAATTATACAATTATTTTGGACATATTGGTAAATTCTTAAAACTAAATATTACAAAATAATAAAAAAATATGTGAAAATATATTCACGTAAAGAAAATACTTAAATAAAACTATTATTTAATATTTTATATCATTAAAAAGGAACTTTCTTACCATTATTCTTATAATAAATGAAACATGCTCCTAAAAAAAAAAAAACTTTAACATAATTATTAAAAGGAAAAATTAAATTTCTAGCAGTCTACCTATAATAATTATAAAACGTTTTGTCAAGATCTACATTATAAAAACTTAAGTTAAGCACTTCATTGTTCTTTTATTATTATAGACAATGGACATAACCAATACTGTTTATTATGTTAGTGATTTGGTGGTATATATATTAAATAAATGTGCCTTTATAATGTATTTAGTTTTAGTTGAAACCACCGAAAGTATTTTAAAATTATTTTGAGAAGAACGAAAAAAAAAAAGAATTTACACTGTAATTTATATGACGATTAGAAATTTTATAAAAAAAAAAAAAAAAAAAAAAATTATATTAAATTTCGATTAATTTTGTTTATTTTATCTATCCATATATAATAAGTTTTATTTTAATTTTTGTTATATTTTGCATTTTAATAGCCACCATTTAACCTATAATTATATTTCTTACGGATAATTTTGTTTTTTTTTATATACCTAACTCTTATATATTTATAGTTTATGTTTTAACAAGCATGAATAATTTTAAATTAATATATCTTTAACGAATATTTATTTATTCACTAACAATAAATTTAACAATAAATAATAATTAAAGGGAGAATGGAGAATTGGGCAAAATATGTAAGTAAATAAAATATATAAAAGAATATTATTGGATTTACTTTGTTGGATCTTAAAGTCATCCAACGGACATTTATTGTGGTATCAGCAATCTGTATAAGCTTCTAAATAATAATCAGAGTTCATTAATTTAAATCAAAAGACTTAAGTTTATGTATATATATATATATATATATAGTTTTATGCTTTAAAAATATTCATATAATATTTGATATTTTACAAATTTCAACCAGTCGAAGAAAGTAAATTATTTTGTTTAACAGTTTCATTATAAATGCAGGATGAACAATAATTTGTAGATTGTTATGTGAAAGTGTAACTATTAAATTTACATTTTTAAAATGTTGAAAAAAATGTATAAAAAACTTAAAAGAAATGAAATTAATATACATGTAACTCACGATATTTCGCCAAAAGGTGCAAATGCTTCTCGAAGTGTTTGTGTCTCAATTTCAGGACTAAGGTCACCGACGAATATGTGATGGTGTTCTGTAAACAAAAAATGTATACATATAACAAAAATATAACATGGATAAAGTATAGAAACAACATTATGAAGGAAATAAAAATAATATATAACACTATGACAGAAAAAAAAGTATAATATTTGTTTTTGGACGTTATCTTAGCAAACCAGATATTCTATTTGTCCATTGCAACCTATTTTTTATTAAATGACGAAACAAAAATAAGTTTACCCTTCTTATATATAGATAAAAATCAAAAAACAATAGAAGAATGGGTTCTGGTCGAATATGATTTTTAAAATAGAAGTGTACTAAAAATTATTTTTGTGACCCTTGTATTAACTTAAGTAACATGGAAAAATAATTCTAATATATAATTATAAAATTAAAATATAATACCTATGTAATTTTATTTTACAATCCACTGGAAATTTTCGAAACGACCATGTTTAATCGGTTCGGTCAAAAGTAAATTCGGAAAAGTGGCTTGCCATGATTATTTGTCGAAAGTTTATTTATTAACTATCAGTTAACAGCTAAATAACGTTTTAATTAAAAAAAAAAAAAAAAAAAAAAAAAAAAAACAATTTTCAAATTTTCGTTTCAAGCACAAAAAACTATCACAGACGTTACTTTCGTCTACACGTCTACACGTTAGTTTTATTCCACATACGCAGCAGAGTATTTTTTCACGTGTTTACATTTGAGTCTGTTCGTAAAGGTTAAAATACACATGCAAGTACATATGTTGTGCGCGTACAAAGAAATTATTTCTGTCTGTTAGTTTAAAAAAACTCTTGTTAATAAGTGTAAATAAAAAATAGTCGAATTTAAACAAATTTGTTATTTCAAAATTACTGTTATGGTCTAATTACGTTATTTTACTTCTCCTTTCCATATAAAATAAAACATTGTTTATAGTCTAAAATCTTAATATCTAACAACATATTCAATCAGATAAGATTTATACTTTTCAAATAATAACTTGGTTTTCAATAACGAAAAATCAGATATCCATATGTGGAGCTGGTTAAATCTATGTCAGATAAAATAAATTCCTTCAAAAACGTATTTACTCGAAAAGACCTTGTGGAATTTTGGTGTTTAAAGAAAGTATTTTTTTAGAAGAGAAAAAAGAGAAAATTTAGTTACCAAAGTATTAAACGCTCGTGTACGGCTTATATTAAAATTCTGAAAGAACTCATTCACATTCCCGGCAACAACTTTTATACCTCTTTTCTTTGTGAAATAATAGCGTTTTTTATCAAAGCTAAAACAGATATTTTTATTTGTTGGTTATACAAAAATGAAAAATATAAAAAATAAAATAACAACGGGGGTAAATGCGACGGTGACATGCAATCTTATAGCCGAACACACATTTGTGTATCAGAATTGCCTATCTATAGCGCCGTGACTCAGTTTAACATAAAGTATTATTTTATTTATCATAAGAATAAAATGTGTAGAGTAGTGATAGACAAAATAAGACTTTGGATTAGTAGAAGTACAACGTAAGTTTTGGTGTTTGAATTTGTAGGGAAAGATTTGGAAAAAAAAAGTGAGATAACGGTATTGAGTATATGAAAGAGAGTCACCGTTTGAAAATTGTTGAGAAAGAAGGTATGGGTATAAATATAAAACAATGATAACTAAATTGTTATTAACCAAAAACCATTTGAATGTAACTGAAAAAATATAAATTATGATAATCAGAGTAGCTTTTTTTTTTTTAATCACTTATGCAAAACTACCTTTTCACAATATCAAGAACGACTAAGTACAATACGTTTTTCATTCTAGTTCATTCGTTTTAATTCTAGTTCGGTTCATTAACATCGTTTAACTTTATTAAGGAAGAAAAAATTTATAGTCACAAATTATTTTTATTGGTTTTGGTATTTATGCCGAACAAGGTCCTATACGCCGTTGAACGAAAAAAAAACTTTGCCTTGTCAATGTAAACGCCAAGGTGGTGGTTAGCAATAGGAGTAAGTGGATTTACGTGATTTGTATGTATAATCAGAATATAAAAACTTTTTATACGCATGGAACAAAAGAAACATGGTGGTGGTCTTCGTAAACTTACGATCCCGAAAAATATATTATCAAATTATTACCAATTGTAAGACATTTACGCACGTGCGCGCAATATTACAAACGTCTAAATTACGATATCCCATCACTATCCTATGACCACGTCAATATAAAAACTATTGAGAAACGATAAGGACAATTGTTATTTATTTTGTAATACTTTTGGGCAATAAAACAATATTCAAAACTATGTATGGGATGCGTTAGTTCGGGGCGCTGCCGCCGTAATATATGACGCGAATTGGACATCAGCCAAATCCCACCGCGATTTAAATCGACTGTTAACAAAATACAATCATTCCGTAAACCTCTTGGCAAAGGTGCGGGCCCTTAATAAATATAGGTCATTCAGACTGTTTAGAAGACTATCAGAAGGAAATAAACAATTAATATACATGGGGTAAAATAACAAAAACTTCATTGATTGATAGACTAGAATAGTACAAAAAAATAATAAAACTAAACGTATGTATTTAGGAAAAATGAAGGAAATAATATATACTCAAACGTTTATTTTTATTTTTATTTTAATCATATATTAATAGCTTGTGTATTCTCCAAGTATATATGTGATTATTTTATGAAACTTTTTACATTTTTGAACTTTCGCATTTAACTTCGGTTTCAAAATTTAAAACATTTATACAAAAATGTATTTAATTAAAAATAAAAACAAAAATTAGTAAATAGAATGGATGTAATGGAGCAAAAATAATTTGAATCAAAATGGTTAGTATACCGATAGTTCTTTTCCAAATCAATGAACAATGAGACTTTAAAAAACCATAAAATATTATAAATTATTTTGAGAAAATAAAGGACATAGAGAGTAATGAATGTGAAAGACATAATACAATTTTGATTGTTGTTTTACTTTTAATAATCTGTAAAATGAAAAAAAGAAAAGATACATAATACAAAACCTATCTTCGTTTAACGGATATCGCCCGTGATATTCGTGCATGGAGGGTGTGCATATGCATTTTTGATGAATTCACGTAGAATAAAATGCGCCTGTTAAGACCCCATAGGACAAGGATAAATCGTACGAACAGTCGACGTTTATAAAACAAACATTCTTCAAAAAATGCATATCACTTGTGTAAAAAATATGCGAAAAAATAAGCTGCAAAGTCATAAATTATTGGTATTATGTGCACGCCAACCACGGGTGTATTACACACTAATTCAGCCATTGTTAAATAAGTTTAAAACTGCATTTCCTTGTCTCTATATATTATAATCATATCGTTGAACATGTTTTAATGAACGAGTTATTATCACGCAGTACACTGGTGCATTTCCTGACAACAACACCAAGTGTATACAATAACGCACTCCTACTATTAAATGCAATTTACTTCCTTTTCCATTTTGCCACCTAAGCCAATTGCGTGAACTACAAAGGGTATTAAAATAGCGGTGGCAGCAATGATTATGATATTATACATACTGCGGAATGGTCATACTACATTCTCGTAATACCGTAAAATATTCGACCTTTTCCTCCTCTACTAGGTTAATTTTACTGAATAATCAAAATGGGTCTTCTGCAATCTCGTTGGTGGTAGTGGTAGCAATTAACCGATTTATTATTCAAATATTATGCGAGCGTTGGTTTCGACGACGTTGTACCAGACCCGATGACCACGAAAAATCATACATGTAAATTTTATAGGGCGCATATAAGCATGTATGTATAAATATATATACAAACATAAAATTTAGTTTAAAAATTATTTTATTGTTAGTGATTTATAATTGTCAAAGAAAGTTTACACAAAAGCAATTAACAGAAAACCCTAAATATTCGGTGAAAATTTTATGATTTTTAATTTAATGTGAACAATAAAGTTATATTATGTTCGAAAATTTTGTCAGTAGTGATTTTTTTTTTAAAACAGTAGGTTTGAGGCTAAGTATCTACAACAAATGGGCAATTGTATTCAATTTTTTAATATCATTCTGAATATAATATATTATATCTTAATATAATATATTAAACGTTAAAAAGATTTTTGATCATATTAATAAAAAATTCAAATATAGTTCTTATTATTTCCAAATAAGATGTATGATTTCAAAATAAATACTTTTTTATTCTTACGTATGAAATGTATTGATTAGTGTATTTTATTCAAACATTTAGATTATTAAATATATAATTATATATATTTCATATTAACAACATTAAAAACTTGATATAAGTGAAAATTATACCACCCAGATGTCAGTTAAAAATGAATAGATAACAAATTATAATTTAACGTTTATTATAATGTCATAAAGTCATTGTGTTTTTATAATTCCCTGATATGATGATACAACCACTGTTTTAGATAAAGTTCCATGAAAACCAATTTTCATGTTCAACATGTTTGTATAATGGAATTCATCAAAACTTATTGTAGTATATTTTATATTATTACAAAAAATCAATATATATATATAAATACATATATATATCATACAACCATATCTAAACAGTAACAACTCAAAAATTTGGTTTTTTTTAGTTAAACGTACTTTCGGATTCTACAAACGAAATTATATGAATCAACAGAACAGGTTTATCTTTAATATTCTCTGTCAGATTGCAATGTAAGTATATTTTATTGAATTAATGATACCAAGGTACCACCAACAAAACCGACATTCCTGAAAAAGGCGGTTTTTTTTTTAGTTGTTACTGTTTTGATATAGGTGTGCGATATATAAAATATTTAACGTATAAAACGGGTAGAAGAGGTGTGTAATTATTAAAACGCTATGTTCAACAACTATATCACTTCCTTTTTTTGACTTACGCGTTAATGAATTACTCAGGTAGTTGACAAGTAAAAAAGAACAACATTTATTTAATTTTTGAAAACTTAAGACAAAAGGATGGATCATTGAGACGGATGCATAGTGGAGGAAGTCATT